AGAGAGTATTACGATAAAAGTTATTGTGAAGTAAATTAATTATATCAGATTTACGAATAACTTCAAACGTTATCAAAAGAATCCCCGTTAGCCTCTTTTATGTAACTTAAAAGTAAATTTCAGGCTATCCTTTTTACTCTACCCATACAAAGCCCTTTCATATCCAATGACGTGGTTATACATTTTAATTATTTAGATATATATTTTTATTATATTTATTTATTCAATATGTTTTTCTATGAGTAAAAATGCTAATATTAATATCGAAAGAAGGTCAGATGGATTTAGAGCCTCATGTTCACAGTTGGGTGTTAAGTGGGATTAAACATTAGATTGAACATCAAATAAATCTTTAAAATATAAATTTCATGTGGGGACAAAGGTATTATCATTTTATAATATGTTACGCGTATTGTATTTAAAGTTATGTTTTTGTGTTTGATAATAAACATTTGTGTTAATTACGAAATAAATAAAAAATAAAATGTATGTAATATATATATTTTTTTATGTTGCATATACGAGGATTCTTTTAGTATGTCATAAAAAAAACTGACTCTTATTTTAAAAGAAAGAAGAGAGCTGTTAATTAATTATGAATGAAGTATGTAATGGTTTCAATAAAAATAAAGTAGTATCTGAAATATGTTTTTTTGACTTGTGTTTTTAAGAGTATCATACATATACTAAATATGCTCATTTGATTGTTTAATACAGACTTAGTTTAATAGTATACATAATTTTGTTATTAGCAATTTAACTGCCAAGTACTCTATGTAAAGTGTAGTTAATAAAATATAATAATTGTTAATAAAACTGATAAATGTTTCTCTCACCTTGAGTGTTACCAACTCACAACAATATGTTACTTTATTTTTAAACTCTAAAGTTAAAAAGCAAGTTCTATAAGATTCTTTGTTTCCTTCAAAAACTTTACATATAGAATGCATGTAAATTTAATATATTTTAAACATAAGAATTTTATTAAATTTTCAACAAGTTATTTGTGTATCCAATTTTACAGACAATATTTTAAACGTCCAAAATGTTCCTGAGCAAACATCGTTGACCTATTTTTATATCCGTGACCGTTCGTTACTCTGTTAAAATTATAACTGATTAAAATACCGATAATTGAGACAAGATTAACAATTTAAAAAAAAAACTTGAAAGGGATGTTTTGGAATATTTCAAACATCACAAATTCTTGTTTCAACAAAATAATTGCTAGCATTTTTGATTAAAATAGTATGCAGATCAACATTAGGCTTTGTTTTAGTTTACAAATATAAGTAAAATAAAAAATGCATACTATGCGTTTATGTTTTTTAAGTTGAGAATATTTTTCCTGAATTCGAATCTAGCTTTAATTACAATTTATTTTACATTAATTATATATATGTATCTAAAAAATTAACAGACGTGTCCAAGTGAATAATGAATACTGCTCGAGGTGTTTAAAAAAACATAAATTTAACATTCGTATTCTTTTATTTTATCAAAATTTTCTGATATTTGAGGGTGCTTTTGAGGAGAAAATAAAAAATAATGTCGTCTATAAATATTATATTGGAAATAATGCCGGTATTACTGAAATTACTCAGGCTACTTCAAGTTTTGGTTGGCTTAGATTTCTCGTGATGATACTCGATTGCATGAGGGAAATTTAAAGTTTGAGGCTCTGCATGTTTGTTTTCAAGTGTAATGAGGTCGGGTTTTACAGGATGTTGTATTTCCTGAACGTGATCTAAATACTGGATACGTAAGTTTTGTTTCGAGTTATATTTTTATTACTTTTTCTCAAAATTGCAAAAAATTCTTGAGCATTTGACGCAGCTGAACTGGAGCGTCGATGTATGCTGAATATTTGCTGGAAATCGCTGTTATAGATGGGGAAAACCTTTGTTAGAAAACAGATTTTAAATGAAATTTGCTAGTGAAGATGTTTGGAGTTGTAATTTCCTCCAATTCCATAGCGTCGCATTTGAATATAAGTAGAGAAAAAGCTTTAAAACTATAAAATAAAGATTTTCTAACAATTCTTGTCATTTAGTAAATCTATTGAAAATATTTTTCTAATATTTGAAATTACCTATTGTGGCTAAATTTAAAAATGAGAATAAATAAATAGTATAACTGAAATGACTTATTTTGCAATACAATAGTTTAATAGATCATTCATTATTTTCCTTTGTTAAGTAACGTGAAGAAATATTGTCAAAATATTTAATAATTCTTGGTCACGCACTCTAAATGTGTGGTATATGTAACTTTAGGAATGTCGTAGAAACTTATCCTATTCTAAGCTTGATAAAATAACAACGTTAGTACTTTTATTTTCAATTACATATGTAACGTGTTGTGTTTTTATTCTCTAGAGCCAAAGGCCTAATGGATTTCGAAGTATACAAAGACTAGTTGGGTTGTACAAGGGCATGACCGTACTTTTCGTTATAACTTAATACATTAATTACAGTTTAGTAAATTATTTAGATTTTTTGTACAAAAACGTTGTGTAAATAAAGTCACATATGACCCCTTGAAGTTTGAGTATTATAAAATAATAATAACGAATTATTTCTCATGTTTTCAAGACACCGCTTGTATTTTTCATTTGGTTATGGGTTCCCTATGTTGTAATGTCATTTATTAAAGTGATATTCTATCTTTATTTAACTGAGTATGCTTTTTTTTTAAATACTATAATATACTTATCATTACGATGATTCATAAATAATATAATCACGACGAAACGAAAACGAAATATTGTAATATATATGTCATTAATGTTAACCAATTAATTCTTATTACATTAAGATTTCATTTAAGATTTTTGTAAAAGTAAATAATATTAAAAAATGCTTATAAATTATCAACCAAACTTTACGATATTATATATAACGAGTATAAGTGTGAATAGTGCGTTATATGTATATAATAAATTGAACGGCTAGATGTCATTTTATTTAAGATTTATAATATTTTGTTATTATAATTGTAGTAAGTTATTAATAAAATTATACTTTCCAGCCAGTTCATTAATGCTTTCCCAGAAAGCTTTTGTTTGTTTATAAAATCGCCTACAGAAAGTGGTCGCTATTAAACTTTTCCTATTATAGTTATATAAAAGGTGATGTTGATAAAATATAGTTTAGAAAGTTTCAGCTTAATAATAAAAAGTTCTGATTCTAAGTTCCATTAACAATGTTGGTAAACTTTTAACAGTATTTATATGTATATATCAGAACGATTTAAAACTTAATGAATAGTCCACTTTGAAAAATTGTATTGTATTAAATTAAAACTTCTTTTATGAATGAGCTAATATTTTTCGGATGTACTACATACGAGATTTTAATTTTTGATTATAAACTACATACTCCCGACGTTTCAGTTACTTTACAGCAACCGTGATCACGAGCAGTTGAGATGACGAAGACGTAATAAAAATTGCGTAGTACATCCGAAAAATACTAGTTTCATTTAAATGAATACTCGCGAAAATCTTAGATCTCATTCTGTTATGAATTGGCTGTTTAGGAAATGACTATTCAATTTATATTTCATTGCCGAAAGAAAAGAAAATTAGAAATTATTTTCGTTTTTAACATAATTCAATTATTTAAAATGCTCTTTATGCTCTAGAGTAGGAAATTATAAAGAGAAAAAAAATTACAGAATATTGGTATATTGACTCAATATTAATTAATTTGACAACATCGTCTTAAACAAGTAATTCAAAAGAAAGGAAAGACTAAAATCATTTTAAAAATACACGTGACATCTTAATAATATATTTTCTAAAAAAAGATATTAAATATATATTTTTATGCATTTGATTAGAAGCTATATCTCCTATTATATATTTTAAGGACTTGGCGTGTTGTCTTTGAGAACTGACCACGTATTATTAAAATGTTTTTTCATATGTCTAACCGAGTATTCTTACTTGGGTACATATCCATTTTATTTTATATATCTACAAGATAAGTCAGATAAGAGAAACAAATTTAGTACAATGCTTTAAAATAGAAAATTTTCATGTCACATTAACATAAACCCAGTATCTCGAAGTAGAGAAGAGAAATAAAGTTTTAAATTATTTTAAAGAGTTTGAAATATTTCTGATGGATTTAAATTGTTGGCTCTCTTCATTTAAAATAGTCGCATTTTATAGTAGTATAGTTTCTCAATATAGATATTTTTTTTAATTTCTCCATTAATAATATTCTTTGAATTAAAATTAGTATAACAAAATTGTTGCTTAAGAATATACAGCAAGGGTAATGGATAGTAATTGATAATCTACTTGCTGTTAATACGTTTAAGGCTTAAAGTACTTAAGTCCAATATAAACTCAACGTTGGTTTTACTAAATGATATTGTAAGGGCAGACACTTGAATCTATACACGTTAATACAGAAGCAAAAACATCTTTAAAGCTTATAAATTGTTTGGGAACAGTGAAAATATAATTAACAAACATTAGGTAAGGCTGGTTGAGAACAAACAGGCGCGTAAAAGCTTTTCTTTTGATACAAAGATTGTTCAAACAAAAACAAAGAAGTAACACGTGTATACTAATAATAACATTAAATTCAAACTGTGAACAGACTTTTTTATGAAATTAATTGAGTCTTTTACTTTATTTCTGAGATAAAACTATTTGTTTATTTAAGTTAGCTACTTATAAATGTATGAGTTCCAGAATTGCCACTAATACATTGTATTTGTTACAGATTCTTGGTTTATAAATAAACCATGGTGATATTTTATCCGAAAATATCAATATGAGGATGGAATTTTACGGATTATACTTTCTTGTTTCGCTTATTCTATTTACGAGCATCGAATCAAAATGGATCCCAGAAGCGAATATAACAAGCGAATACAATATTAAGTTTAATAAAACTAAAATATTGGAAAAAAATCACAATATTATGAATGATAGTAAAATACAATTGATAGATAGAATTAATAAAAAAGATCAAATTATGTCTATGGAGACTGATAAGAAATGTGAAACGGTAAATCAAACCGACGATGGCTTCGAAGCTAAAGACTTTGAAGTGATTCACTTGGATAACATTTACTCAGTAACTATTAATTTAATAAAAGATAAAGTGTCGCTACACGATGTTCAAGTGGAGGGTGTAAGTCTATTCGACATTGTTAAGAGTGACTGTGGGAGTGCAAGAATTTGTAATGACTTTAAGACGAATTCATTAGATCCTAATACAATTACAATTGGATTTCTCAGTGCTTATAAGTGGAGTCAGGTAAGTTATATTAAAATACAGATTCATTTATTTAATTTGTCTTGAAATGTTGAGATTTTTTTGATAATATTATTTCTTCTATACATTAATGTAGTATTATAAAGTAGGCATGTATAATTTACGTTAACTTAAGACTTAAATTGACTTTTATGTGATATTTAATCTGCTATATGTGTGGTAAGCATCAGATTATTGGATGTACATAACATTACATTCTGGTTGAAATTTGCTTTGGTTTAGAATTTGCGTGACGTGAATATTCTTCCCTTGGGTGACAGTTAACCAAACAAATTGCTCTATTCTATTTAGGCAATTTTAATAGATGTTTTAGACTAATTTATTTAAAATATAACATTTTTAGAAATGTCTATGCATCCAGCAAAGTAGTACTATTTGACCTAAGATCGCTAATATGTAATCATACGAACAAAACAAATTAAAATAAGTTTGTAGTCATACATAACTAACCTCAGTGTTTTTTATATAGGAATTATTCTAAGTCTAACTGACAAGGGTCAAACAGATGGCCTCCAGGCAATATTTTTATAACTCTTAATATATTGAAGTGCTCTGGGAATAGGTAAACATTTTATTCCTATATTGAATTTCTTCAGATGTAATAGATTGATTCATAGCTATTTACAAAAACATGTTTAATGTAATAGTAAAGAATATAAAGGAAACATATATTCATTTACTTAAAAGGGCCTTTAAAGTCCTGATTCCAGATTTTTATACTCCAGAAAAATGAGTGTAGAGATTTTCTCGTGAAAGTTGAAACATTTGATGACAAAGGAATTGTAAAAATTGTATATAATTTTATTGGATCTCTTTATTGTAAATAATTTTATTGAATCTTATTATTTAGTTATAGCTATCATATAGTACATAGAAATTTTATACTAGATGTGTTTACAACTGGCATGGATATCGCCTAATTATTCATAAACTACTTCTAAATCTTCATTTAAATTTCTAGTTGTTAACCTGGTTAATGAACAAGTCTTTATACCGAATAACATATTATATCTCTGACTTAACAATAATTAAAGTCGAGTTGCGTAAAATACTCACGGCTTCTTAGAATTCATAAATTTTTAATAACCGACGTAAAAAGGAGGGTGTAAAGTTTGAAGTCGGTAGGTGCGCGCGTGTGTATGTGCACTCTATTTCTCAAGCTGATTGACCGATTTCTATGCGTATTTTTCATTTGAAGCCAATTTTATAGCAGTATTTTTTTGTTATATTTTATTAATATCCCGTCAACAGTATAAGAGTATCAGCTCCTTTGTTAAATTGATTTAAGTCGTTTGTGGCCCACGATTGCTCAATTAATTACGTTATGCGTGCCATTACTTGAAAATAAATTCTTGTATATTTGGGAAGAAAAAACGGGGGCTTTACAAAATATGTAAGAGTCTCCAACGCCGTGCAAACAAATTAAAAATCAACGACCACTTTTCTATCTAACCGTCGATAACGCTATCCATTGAACTCGGGTCGCTCACATTGTATGGAAATTTAATTGTCAATAAATCTCCAACAAATAATACTTACTTATATATTTTATTAAATGTTTTAAAGATTTATATATGATACAAGCCGTCAATACGTTGTATGTAAATACATTTATGCTTTTTCAGTTTCGTGATATATTCTAAGATCTCTGGAGTCTATAAAGTAAACAGAGAATGTGATGTGACGAGTTCAGTCTTTATGAATATTATAATCGGGACTTTTTCTTTGCTGATTTTTTTTTGATACTGATAAACTCTTTTGAGATCGATCTTATCTAACGAGCGTTAAATGCTCACCTCCACCGCCTATGCTCCTCTCTCTACCTAACCACATCTGAAACGAACCTAGTGGGGCTGCCTTCGATGTACGTTCCAATAATGAATTTTGTTAGGTTATGAAATGGATTCAGTGAATATAATTTTCATAGAGGTGCATACACTAGTTAGTTATTGCATAAAATGTTTACCTTAGAAGATATTAACTGGTAAATTCCCGGATCGTCATTCCCACACCCATGTCCAGATGTCTAGAATTTTCAAGGAGTTCTTATAACTAGTTTCAATCCACGGATCTTCAACTTGGACAGTTCCAGTTAATTACTTAGATAATTAAAGTTAAGGTCACTCAACGAGCGAGGAAACGTGTGATGGCCGGAGTTTCTCTACGTGATTGTATTCTGAATAAAGTTTGAGGCTAGAGAACCATTCATAAATATAACAATCGAGTAAAGTAATCGCGTTAAAGTGGTTGATCGGTCAGTACTACATAACTTTGATGATCTGAAAGGTGTTAAGAGTGAGCACCGGATTACGTTTAGTGTAGAACACCTTGTAGCATAAATGACTGACAATTTAAGGTGGCACGTAGCTGGATTCAGGCTTCTTAGGACCAGCATAGTTGAGACTTTTACACCTTTATGGTATTTTTTTTTAAATTTATAGCACTGTTACTGAATTGCGAATCTTAGCAAAAAGCTTAGTAATTAAATCATAAATAAGTAATATATTATTTCTTGTCTACAAAATATTTCGCAAGATTCAAATATTTTGAATAATGTTACATTATATTTTATAACGTTTAACAGAAAATATTAAATTATTGTACTTATCGGCGTCGAGAATTACTGTGATCTTTTAAGAACTTAATTAGTTTATTTATTCCATTTATAAAAAAACTATGTTATTGGAAAATATTTATTCTTCTATTAATATTCCATAAAAAATAAAATCTAAATTGAGCAATATGAGACAGAAGTACCAAACAGTACAGAAGTTTTATTTTCATAACGTTTATGAGAATAACAACTCGAAAAATTACATAGTTTTTTAGTATAAATATTTTAATTTCAAACAACGGTAAGCATTACTGTTTACGAACAGAAATACCTGGAAATCTCCAAATTAGAAAATCCAAAAGTAAACGCCTCAATAGCTCGTATAGAAATATAAAAAAGCAAGTATCATATTAATTTTGAGTTGCAGAGAGAAGTAGTCCAATACATGAGATAAAAGACAGACGTGAAAGTAAATATTGTTGAATAATACGTTATTAAACTTGAATAATATCTTTAAATCGATTATGACTTGGTAACATCATTGTGTACTACGATAAGAATCATGACAAGGGTGAATCAAAACTTTAAAAAAAAAAAATGTTTTATTATAATTTCGTATAGTTTTAATGAAAAGTGAAGAAAAAATGCTGGCATGACAGCTGCTAATTAATTAAAAATATACTGAAAATTATAATCGAATATATTCAGTTTTAAACAATCTGTTAAATATATAATTGATTCAGTGTCCCAATTGGAACATGCCAACAATTTGTACCACGTAAAATCGAGAGTGAAGCGCTTACAAATCGAGAGTAAAGCGCTTACAAACGTTCATTTTTGGGAGTGCAATTAATGATTTTTTTCTTGGCTTCATACTATAAAAGAGGCTATTGCTATCTATTTTGCTATTGCACATAAGAAAAAGTTTATATATTTTATGTATCACATAAAACCTATTTCAGAGCTATTTAATGTAATTTGAAACATCTAGTGTTCTTCACCGATCACAAGAATTCAATTTTGTTATATTATATTTTGAGTAATGTTCAAAGATTTTTAAAACTACAATATATGTGTTTTCCATGGCAACAACATATTTGTTATGAATTGTTTTGTTTTTTTTTAAAGTTGGTGTCAATTGATGTGTGTTGAAAATATATTCTTTCTCATAGCTTTCATTTTATCATACAATATAAGTGATATTTAATAATATTAAACCATTAAAAATAGCGAAACAGGAAAAAACAATAAAGAAAGATAACTATTAACATTATCCAACAATATAACTCACAATACGATACAAAAATATCCACGATTTAATTTTATTTTAAAATCTACGCATCCCTGAGACATTATTAAATTACCAGCACATAACATGTTTATAACTCACAAGTAGCTAATTTGTGATTGTCTTTATAGACTTTTCACATGGTGAAAAATTAAGTAAACCTTAATAACATAAAACTAATAATTAATTAAGATAAATTTTTAAAAGCTGTGACGATATTGACTTAGAAGGACACTTAAATGTCCTTTTTTTATCTTTCTGCTACAATAACGAAACATAGGTAATGAGACTTTTATAGAACATATATAGAACAGGCTTTTAACAGAAATCCTTACAAAAGATTCATACATAGATTGACTTTCCTACGTTTCACTGAAATAATGTAATTTTGCCACCCTCAGTACCCATCCATAAGTGATGACGCTTTCAAAGCCGTGTAGAACGTGATATCATAACATAAAAAATTAAATTTCCGTATACACTAATTTGAAATCAATATTTTCCATTCTAATATATTTCCTTTTTAGTAAATAGAAAAAAAATACGTTAAAAGAAGATTTAAATTCTTTTTAACTCTCGACTGTAATGCAAACATAATTTACTGTAAGGTCAAGTAACTATTGGAATTATCTGAACAGCAGTCCATGAACTTGGTTTTACGAATAAAATGAAATTGTCACTACGAGTAACTTGGCAGTCTTTAGTTTATTTACACAAAGGTCTGTGTGCCGTTCATTGGTTGAAACATTTTTATTTAAATAAAATTTTCAATAAACCATGTTTTTAAACAATAACAATCCTATATCAATAATAACTAAATAAGAATTATAAGTTATTTGTTCCATTTCGCAATAGACGTATTTATCTTTGATTAATTTTAAATGTATGAACGTTTTATTATTTATAGTCTATAACTAAAACTAGTTTCATGTTAATAAAACTTAGATTGAACATAAGCTGTGACATAAATTTTTATGTTTATGATAGTAGTTTGAAATGTTAAGATCGGAGCTAAGAGTTTTCATTATAAAATATATTTCCTAATGCTATATTCTCTTAAGCTTGACTACTAACATTATATAATCCAATAAATTAAATAATCAATATTTATTTATTTAATCTATAGTTTCAAAGAGCTCATTAAAGCTTAAAATAATGATTACCAAAGGACAGTTTAAAAGAAATTTTTGTGAAACGTTGTGACATAATTTTAGGGCAATAAAGCCAGCAGGTTACAAACGTATAATAAATCGAAACGCAAATCATGTTAGTAATATTCACTGTCATAGCAATTAAATAACTGCGTGTGAAATATTAGTAGGAGTAAATTATATAGGGTGCATTTTGCAGCAACCACAGGTTCCAGGAAAATTATAAACCTACTTATATATATACTTGTATATTTTAATAAGAACTACATATTAAAACTTATAACCTATACCTAAGACTATATGATTGCCCCGATGGATGGATTAGGATAGAAATGCCATTCCATAGCTTGTGTGGTATGTGGAATCTTCTGGTTCACACGGCTTGGTGTTCGTTCCGCGGAGTCAGCGGCATCACTTATTATATGATATTTTATCCGTACAACGATGTCGGCCCGGCGATGTTCATTGATTATTTAATTTTGATTGTTGCAACTGCGTAACAAGTACATATAAGACCTAATTGTTCTGTCACTTCACTGTTAATAGATACTTTTTTGATACAGCCCATTTAAGCCGCTGTATTCTATTTTTTATGCTACGGTTTTCATATTGGAATTGTGGAATATATTGCCAATGTCAATGTTTTTATTTACTGAAGCTCTTCATATACTTATAGAGTTAAAAGAAATTGGAATAGCTGACTTACACTCTCATGTTAAGAATTTACGGGTTTTTAAAATAAAATTTCTATATACATTTCAATTTACTTCGATTAGGCATAACAAAACTTCTTGGAAACTTGATTGAAGTGTCTTAAGTATTTACTTATAGGTTATTAAACTCAGACTGGCGCCCAAATAAGTGTCTGCTATCACCCTTTCGAGGTCACAGGGAATATTACGGACCAAACGTTAGCAACCTTTAATCGTATTGAAGAAAATTGTTTCAACAAAATTAGTCCATAACATCTTACTTTTTAAATTAATTGGATATCTTAAAATATATTTAGTATATACTGGATGTATTCTTGAGGTTTGTAGTTGTAAGATAACATTTAGATATTTTCTAAAGGATTATTGAACATTATTTTGTTTGCAGACTGTCCTGGGTGCTCTACCACTAGCTGTGGCAGCAGTTAATCTCGACCCAAATTTACTGCCTGGTCTCAAACTCCGCTTTGTAACCGCAGACATTGGGAGAGCAAGACCACCACTGCCTATGGACAAGGATAGCCTATCACTAAGGTATATATAATATGTTTAATGTAACTTATTAAAATTTTGAACAATTTAATGATATGATATTTCAGAACAAAGAAAAATATGGTTTTAAAGTCATCATTTTCTCGACAAATGTAAAAATAAAATAATCCTGTTATTTTGGTTTTATACATTTCTCAAACTTTTAATCTACAATATTTGAAAAAGTTTTATAAGTATGTTTTATCATTATTTTATATTGTTTTAATACACTCAGAATACACAATTAATTGCTGTTAGCAAAAAAAAAATTAATTAATATTAAAATGTCAAATTTAACTTTTTCTCTATTTTCGTTAATATTTTGTGGTCTCTTAAATCCTAAAAGTACAAGCTTCCAGATTATGGACAAAACTTTACACATACATGACATTTTCAAGGGATATGGATTCCCTTTTGCATGTTTTCTCATGTTATTGGACATAATATCACCATCATAGATATATCGATTTAGTTTTGTTCTAAATATTAGATAATGCACACTACCCAGATAGTGTATAAGGATTATAATATCAGTTTTGTACGTGGGGAAATGTATTACTCATAAAGTTTCCCTGGAAGAAAGTGCGGATTATTTCATTTCTCACTATCAATTTTATATTTTAAATTATAACCACAAGAATTTGATTGTAGCCTTCCTCAGTATTCAAATGAGTTCTAGGAAATCTTAACATACATCCATAGTGCCTCTCTTTTATATTATACCGCAAATTCTTCCTCGATTCAATATCATACCCCCTCCCGAGGGAGCAGTTGCCATTGACCATAGCCTCGTGTATAGAGCGGAGCCACGGCCTTGACAACCATTCTCCTCCGGGATAACTCCCATTGCTACATAGAACGTTAGATTTAATCGTGCCTTTTCTTGATAGGTGTGACCCTAAAATTAAGTAGTGTTCAATACGTTATGTGTATTTTTCCCCACACTTCCAAGATATGAAACCTTTTTGCTTTTTATTTTCCTAAATAGCTACGATAGAAGTTCTTTCATAAAGAAACTGTACATGTGTCTTCTGAGGAGAAAAGGCTGGCACTAAATCATTACATCCAAGGAATACTTGATAGTAGCACTTCAAATTGTGCTGTTAACTTATATGTTTTCTTCTAAAAGCGTAAAAAATAAAAATAAGGGTTACATGTTTAATATAATAAATGTTTTGTTTACAAACCAAATTACTATACTTATACTACTTTTAAAAGTAGGGTCAAAATTACTTACGATCTTAAAAGAAATACGAGGAAAAATAACTCCTTTTATAAGAAAAATAAAAAACCTTAGTATCACTAGATAGAATCCAGACGGAAACTAACAAAATTTGTGTCTTGCTCTTTGATAGCTCTGACCTAGAAATAAAAGTGTCATAGGTTAAAAAAAAACAAACCATTTTTATATCAGCTATTTTCTTAAATTGTAATTCCAATTCAATTACTTATTTTAGTCTACAAAGATTAATTTAAAATTGTATTTTATCGATAATTTTGCTGTTATCGTTACGGCGTAATGCATTAATTTCTGAAAAATATACTATAAATTAAAAATTGTCTTCAGTCTTATATATAAGTGGGTACAAGATTCAGAATTATAAATAACATAACAATATTATGTATACATATATAGGGTGATGACTCAAATGCGTGATATGGGCGTGGTTGCGTTTTTTGGACCTGACGACACTTGTCATACTGAAGCTAAACTGGCTGCGGCTTGGAACCTTCCATTGATATCTCATGTAAGTTAATCTTAATATGTTTTATAACTCCGACCCAGATCCCAAAACTACACGAAGAAACTATGACGTGCAGTGCGGGGTCAGTGACTGTAGTGTATTCTTTAACTTTTATTCCGATCCCGAAACTATATGAACCGACTTTCTAGTGTGTGTTCATTTCCATGTATACAGATTATAAACCTAAAGTTTTGGTAATAAATTACGTTCCAGTACAATTTCTCTCCTAAAATTCCTGTTGGCTTGGTTTGCTTTTTCATATATAATAAGTAATGTTACTTTCGTAAGTATAGTAGTTCTATGAAAATGTTTAGAATTAAGATAATAATTAAAACTTAACTGGACAAAACGAGTTAAACGTTTCCTAATTCATTAACTGTCTTTTTCTTTTCCATATGTAACAAATTATATATATTTACGCAGAAATGCGCGGGAGCCCAAGGAACTGGTGGTTTGGGTGCAACCTTTGCTCGGACACTTCCACCAGCTCATAAAGTTAGCAAATCCGTGGTGTCACTACTAAAGGCTTACGGATGGAATAAGTTCGCCATCATCGCTGGAGATGAGATGACGGCCGCTAAACAACAAATGGACGCTATAAAGGTATCGTTTCAATCTTTGTAATAGTCCGCGAGATTTAAGCTGAGCTCAGCATTTGTGTGAGTGAAAGTAAAAGTAGAGTCAGACTAAAAACTATTATGACAAAATTTAGTTATTTTTTAATTAGACACATAATATGTATAAGTGGGACAGCTATTTTAGATCTTAAATAAAATAAGCAAAGTTTATTAAAGGCCAGGTGTAAATGTTATGGGAAGAAAATTACTAATTTTTTTATTTCAAAATGTAAAAAGAACATACACGAATTCTTCTTCACTGGACATGGTTTTCTCCTTAATGTTTTTAAAATAACAATTTAAATTGCACAAAACTTCTTTTATTTGATTATTTAGAAGGTTTAAGTAAGATTCGTTTATTTGTGTTAGAATCCATTACACGCTGTCACGCTGCTACAGTAAAACCAGTATACACCGTTTCAAACATGTTCAAAATCGGATGTCAAAACCGGTTCAAACACGACTTGACATAACACCTCTACCATGCAAAGCTCAGCTTATGTCTCACGCACTTTATTTTTATACACTAATAACAGTTTTTGAACTGTGTTCATTATCTACATAAAAAAACTATGCCTATCATAGCAACTTCCCTTGGAAAGTTTAAATGGTATAAGAGTTTATAAAGGTTATGGTTATATGAGCTCTGATATTAACTCTCTGATATAATCAATAGATCATTTTGTAGGTGAACTGGGTGAGATTAATTATAAAATTCCTCTTAACTTTAATTTAATCGCATCTGGTTTGGAAAGTTACTGCGAAATTTTATATTGAACGAAACTGTATAAGTTCATTATATGAAAACTAATAGTATTTACCAGAAAACTTCAGAAATTACGTATGTAATTCATAGTACTTTAAATTTTTTATCAAATATTAACAGAATAATTAACAATATGTGTGTACAGTAATAAGATCATAGTTTTCACTCAATGACAGATAAATATGTTGGATTTTCACGGTGTTATAATTTATTTAATAATACATTATTCATAATATTTTATAGCTTGAATAGTTACAAAACTAACAAAGACGTACATACCTTACTTAAACATTATATTCCTAAAAACCAACACCTAAGACATTATAACTGACCCGATGAAGGGATGATAAGGCCATTACGTTGCTTGCGTGGTATCAAGAGAATTCTGATTTACACAGCTAGGACTTCGTTCCGCGAGGTCCGTCGCGTTAATGGTATTTATTCATGATTCAGATGACAACATCATGAAAAAAATATATTTGTTTTATAAATCTACATTTTTTAATAATAAATCAAACCTCGAGTTCAACAAACTTGTTTTAAAGAGTTTGAACTAATTGTTATCTAAAACCAAAACACCTTAAACAACTTAAAATCAATTTGTAAAACACCCACACATCATGTGAACAAATACTTTCCCGCGTATAAATTAAAAAGCAAACGTTACTTTTTAATTAAATGTGTTTTCCTTATAAATATGATATAATACACAAATATCTTAAATTTTCTAAGTTTCTCGTGTACGTAATAGGGTCTTGTGTTTAAAGAGAAATATTTAAATATCACATTAATTAACTCGGGGTTTAAAACCCCGCTCTTCTCTCTGTCTCTTATTAACAATGTTAGAGTTTTTATAAATTAGGCTACAATAAACTTATTTGTGTAACTACTCATTAAAAATATGATTATTAGCTATTATTTTATACTAACGTCCTTAAAAGAAATCACAACTATAAAATAACGTGCTACAGGATGTTTTCAATAAGCTAAAAAGTCTTTTACTAATATTGTATGTTTACGATCTAAGGCTGCATTTCTACTTACCATGAAGTCATTGGATGGAGTGATAGTTAATATTTAACATTATACTATATTTAACATTTCTTGAATTCCCTTTATATCTATATAATATATCAATAAAGGGAATAGATATACCATATAATATATTTACTTTAAGACATAAGAACGATAAAAAAATTAATTATCTTATATGATACGAATTTATTCATTATTTTTGTTGACAATCAATTGGTATTATTGTGGAAATAATACATACATATATATATATATATATATATATATATATATATATATATATATATATTGTATATATATATATACATATATGTGTATTTAATTTAAGTTCGGGACGTTATATTTGGGAACTTTGGAATGAAATTCAGATAGAAATTAAAAATTTATACTTATCTAAAATGAGTATAGTTTATAATAATAGAAATAGTTACGAGTTAGGATCTGATTAGTAATATAAACACGGTATTTAACAGAAAACCAAATATTTACTTTATTTAGATCGCAGATAATATAGCTTGTATCGCTTGTACATATGTCGCTTTCTTGAAAGACTGACTCAAGACAAACCTAGTGGACTTTTTATACACAATAATCCAATTACTAGAACATTCAAAAAAGTATCTTTAATATTTCTACTTGTTTACAAACATTAACAATAGGAATGTTCAAGTAAACGTATAGCTTTGTCCACTCAATTTCAAGATTGATTATATTGAGGTGGTAGAGCCTAGCTGTGGTCAGTTACTACAGCTCGGACATGGGCTGGCTCGACCGGGGAAGTACCACCCTCTCGCAGAAAATCAGCGTGAAGTAGTCTTTAAAGACTGCGTTTCGTCCGGTGAGTGAGAGAGCCGGTTGCCCTTTCCCTTTTCCCACCCTTTCCTTTTCCTCCCTTTCCTACTTTTTCCTCCCCCTTTTCCCCAATGAAGGGCGGCAACACATCCGCAAATCTACGTTGCGTTGGTAACTACCTACCAAAAAGTAGGCCGTCTGCTCAGTTGCCCCCTTTTCCCATAAAAAAAAGAACATTCTGCAATATTCGCTAAGTCGATCATTAAGCCGGCGCGACCCTATTGATAATGATGATAATGTTCCTTTAATATTTCTTAAAATCTAAATTATATCTATATAAGTTAGCTCCTCTTCGTCACTCTTTTTGCTTTTGGAAATACGAACATTGATCCCAACATTAAACGTTTTCAACTAAAACATTTGAAACTATAAGCCTAGAAGTAAACAAAGATCTAGATATAAGCGTCAGTTATTCTGTCCCCTGAACTCTTTCGAGTCAGTATTAAGAAAAATTACTAGGTACACGTTATTTGCATCTTCGTTCAGGAAGAGTCACGATTGTGAAAATTGCATCTTGAAAGTTGCACTCGTCGTATCTTATTTCTTCCCTCTCAAATTCTCTCACATTCGGCAATGGCTTACCAGAACTCTACATACAAGTACTTTCTCGCAACAAATTCATCTTCAACCTATTTACGACATAGTATTTGTAGGAACAATGCAAAACTTCTTACTGATACTTTAGTATCTCATTGATTTATTTTTCTTACTAACATATTTTCATGTATATTTTAATATATATATATATATATATATATACATGTATAATGTATGATAAAATTATATTTTAAGTAAGATAATAATTTAATTTAGTTTTATTATTCTTTTCTCTTGTAACCTAATTGTTTCTGACCACTTTTAGATCCACTGGTAGAGAATAATTTTAACATTATGTTAGGCTAATATTCAAAAATAATATTTGAAAAAGAAAATTACAAAGCAACCAAGCAACCAAACTTTCACACATATGTTTGTTTAAGATTACAGGTAAATAACATATTTTCATTAACGTATATCAAAAAAGGGTTTATAATATTTGTGTATTCTGGTAGTTTCTTAATTAAATAATATTAAAGAGCTGCTAGATAATAAGCATTTATCCATTAGCAATTAACAAAAATTATCATTTCATATTTAAATGAACCACAAACGATATTAGGTTTCTTTTAATATTATTATATAAGAATATTATATTAAGTTATTAAAAAAATATTTCATAATTCTGATATTCATTCTGTAATAATATTTAATATTACATTAGACGTTCGTCCTTTTGACTAACAAAATATTATTTCTGGTTATCGATAATTGAATTAATACTCAGTTCTGATAACAAAATTCAATAAGCATTCATAAAAAATGATTTTTTCTTAAAGTATATAATAATGTGAGCTATATATTGGATTCATTATTAGTGTCCCTTCTCAAAAAATTGTGACAGTAAAACATACCCGTAAGTACGACTGTTTGAATTGTTGATGAACTCACAGATATCATTGGGTAATATACAATCTCTGAGCAACCCAAAATAATCTTTTAAATAATTTTAGATAACATAAAAAACAATTTCTACAATATTTGTAACGACACTGAATCCTTATTTTGATTATTTACAAGGTTAAGGTGTATTTTATGTTTATAATATGATTAATGAATAAAATTTAATTAGGAACATCAAAGTTAAATAAACAAAATATATTTATAGGTTTAAATCTTTGCTTTGAGTCTTTGAAATTATTGATGATTTTGTCTTAATTAGTTTTGTTTCAGTCTATCAATTGGATACAACGTGATTTTAAGGAAATTAATTTATTGACAACATTTTATTCTTAGCTTGTGAAGTCAAAGTGATTAATTACAAGTACATAAGCGCAGACCCTATTTAACATTGATTGCTGGTAATTCTACCAGAATCAATCAATCATGAGATAAGATCTTTATATCACCAAGGTCAGCAGAGAAATAGTATTCATTAAATCCTCGTACTAGTACAGCACATTGATCTTTTGAAATACTTGATAGTACATATCAAATAAGATTTCAAATAAAACTGAGGTCCAAAATTTATTTTATTACGACTATGAATCTTAATTTTACAAGCAAAGTGAGGGGCTCCGATTTAACCCCAAGGGGTGCTATCGGTTTCATAGAGCGTTGTATATCAAACGAACCTTTTTTTGTCTTTGTTCATCAGATTAAGTCTCAATTGACAATGAAATTCAATCTTAAAAATTGTAAACATTTCTTTCTACATTTATTCTTTATGGAATAAAACTGTCGAAATATAAAACTCTTTAAACATTTAATGTTAAAGTCGTGGGTTTTTTCCTCTTTGGTTTTAAAATAATAAATTTATTATATCTATGCTATATTTCGATTGGTGGCTATAAAATATGTGTATAACATATATTTTTCCATATTAAAGATTACGTTGACAGATATTATCGCAGTGTCGCAGTGTATATTCACCGAGACCTCCTAAGCTTTCTTTTACTTTATATTTAATTGGCAAATCTCGTACTCCCTCATGAATAGTGTTTAATTTTAATTATGTATTGTGACATTATTATTTTTTCTAGTAAACCTTTGAGTACCTACCTACCTACCTACTGAGTTTTATTATAATTAATTAGTAATATTGTAGTTAAGAAATAGAAACATTTAAAAAGTTTTTGGACTCAAAACTAAAAAATAGTGTAAGTATATGTCGGAATAGCGCGGTCCGGATTTATATTCGAAAAGATTTATATTCTAACTTCGAGAATTTCGGCTTACAATGTTATCTCACTCGGTGCCACCAATAGAATAAATGTTCATTGACAATATTTGCTCTTTTGAAGACAGTATCAGGTGATTTTTAATAATGTTAACAAGAGGATAGCTCAAAGTGCTACAAACTCATTTAAAGTTAAAAAAAATATATATAAAATTTTATAAATATAATTAGGAATCCACAACTCCGCCCATATATTTCTGATTCTGTTAATACATATAATTTTAGACTATTAATTAGTATTGGGGCGTATGGAATAGTTCTTAAGAAGTATAGTGGCTCAAATTTATGTGCATTAGTTTTATTGTTATATTATTAGGTATAATAACATAGATTTTGTTCCAGAAATTGTCTTTAAGCAACGGTCTAGTGGTAACAGCTGAGCATCGATTCGCAGACTACATTCCGCGACATATATCCAGACTTGAAAATATTGTTGATCAGACCTACGACAAAACCAGAGGTAAAGTAATAGGAGGATTATTTTAAATATTTCAGTTAAGTAAGTTATTTTTTTTTCCGTAATAATATTATCCATATTTGTCTGTTATTTGAAAGCAAGGTTTTTTCTATTCTACTTTTTTTCTTATTTTTTTTAAATTTATTTATTAAAATACGGTAAGCTAATTAATACGTCAGGTTTCAATATGTTCTTTGATGAAGCAGTACGGTGGATTTGACTGAATCGTTTCTGAAATTTGAGCCGAGTAGGATACGATTTAAGTTGTGTCGAATGCTTTATCATATAGGGTAGTAGTAAAAGCTCTTTTATTGGACTTTAAATGTTAGTAAAATTTCATGGTTCAATTGCTGTACTAGTCACCCGTGATTAGTCTGTACTAGTCTGCTGCACTTGTTATATGTAATACCAAAGTGTCTCCATCATCCCGCATGGCGCATAAAATGACTGAGGTACTAATTATGTCTTTTGTAAAAGGTCGTTAGATGTTTTATATCCAACACTTGCGTAGCGACCGGTTGTAATTTTTTGCTTTTTAAGTTTTCAATTAACTTGCATTCTTTATTTTAATCTATTCACAATATTCTTGACATTTAACAGCCGTTGCGCTTCCTCAATGTTGAATTTAGTATCATTAGTGGATGTACTGGTCCTGACCAATTTACTATCACTTAGAAACTAGTAATACACACCTCGTTTTTCTGGCGATGATTTTTATTCTAACAGTTCTCTTTATCTCCAACAGTTTCGGGTTATCTAACATACAGTTATAAAGTTAAGTTATCAAAATTTCATTGAAAACTTATAGTTACTCTTAATCACAATACTTATATTTCATAAAATAAAATGCCATACATACCTCAGTCTTGAAGATATAGTTTAAATATATTTCGTATTTCATTATTCATAGAAAGGTATAAAATTATTCAATTTATGCAGCATTATCTAAGTCACTTCGTTTATGAAAAGTCTAAAAATATAAATCTAATTCGTTTGTAATAATGCATTACTGATTTTTCCTAATTTAAATATATTATTTGAAAATGTCTTTAATTGACTAAACTGAACTTAAGATGCCAATAGACAATAATCAGTAAGTAATGAATTTGAGAGTATTAATAATACATTTAGAAAGACGAACCTAACCTGTCACTTATAGCATAACGAACACCCTATTCCTTCTAATTTATATTCCGTGCATGTTTTTTTTATTTCTATAGCTCATTCATATTTCGAAAGACAATATTGACTCGGAGCCGTGAGGAAATATTGAGAATATCAAAGCTGCCACGAGTTTCTTCTTGGTATTATTTGATACTTTCCTGTTTTGCCATATGTTGGTTAACTTTCTTATGGCTTGCTTTAGTCATCAATATAATGTCTCCTAATTTTACCGTTGTAGCCTTCCTGTCAGGCTTTGAAGAATATCTTCAAAAAGGTTTTTAAAAATCTTAGATCACCGTTTCTGCTAAGCTAGATCGTAGATGTATGTATGTATGTATGTATGCACACAACAACAAGTTTCACAAGGTTTCTGATCAAGATTCATGGTCATTATTGAGTTGCGCCGTTGTTGCAACCTAGCACTGATTTATTTACTTACGGAGAAAAGAAAATACCCACTCCGTTCTTACTTTCGTCATCTGGTCCTGAAAAGTAAAGAGTAATATAGTTTAAGTTTAAAAAACTCGACCCACTCTCGTGTATTTCACTGATTTTAAGAATTTCTAGCTGATAGTACGATTGTTCTTTAGCTACAATACGTATTTTCCCTGATTCAAGAATACATTTGGCACTCCTTGTCTCAACTCTGACCTTTTTAATATTGTTTCATTCAACTTCAATAGTAGATTTGCTGTTTATTATACAATACAATAATGATAATTTAAATCCCTTTAAATTTACGAAGTCAAATTTGTCATGTTTTCGTTATTTATGAGTTTGAATATCTAACTTTTATTATACTAGCAGTGGATTTACTAATATATATTTTAAGTTATAATTTATTTTGTGAAATTTATGTCCATTGTTTGACAAAATCGATTTCAATTTCATACCCTAACAAACCTATCCTCAGAATATTGCAAATTCGCAGAAACTAAGAGCTTTCATGCCATCATATTGATGATATAACTATAGCTTAATAGCTTCAACAGCTTTTACTCTTGAAATGCAATTAAACTTCCTTGCGGAGTGCTTAAAACAATGTAGTAATAAAGATACCTAGAAATAAAGAATGGTAAACAATGACAAAAACAATTAAATAAAAATTCAGTAAGATAGAACTGCTTACGTTAATACTACAGATAATTGTTTAAGACTTGTTTCAAAAGCATTTAAATTTCTATTTAGAATAGGATTTAACCGTTTCAAATGCTGTCAAATTAATTGTTTAATATTTCTGTTTTGTTAAGATTTACTTTAGGAGCCAGTTATAATGAAATATATCGTGGATTTATTTTAATTCGTATTTAGTATTACGAATTTAAGTGTACTACTTATTTTTTGGATGGATATTGTATATTTTACCGTTATTTCTTGATATATACGTTTAATAATACTTATTTATTCTACTTCAAATTCTTTTAGCACTCAATTTGAATAGAGCAAATTAAATCTAGACTAAGCTTCACAAAAAACAAAATAATAAAATGAAATAATCTCTTCTGATAACCACATCTGCCGCTCTCTACCACATCAGAGGGCAAATCAAAGTTTCTTCACCACATATCAATACTTTAGTTTTAATTGAGAAACTGATATCTGAACAATTTCCTTCTCCATCATTAGTGAAATAATTTTATCGATTAAATTTACAACAAAATATCTAATTTAATTCCGAGAAATTACCTTTCTAAGAAACACAAGAGTATAATAAACAAAAATCTATTACAGTCTACAAAATGAAGATGAAATTCAAAATATATTTCAATACTTATTTCCTTATTTAATTAATATAATAATAAGTATTTCAAATGTAGCTGAAATTATTTATTTTACACGATCTTCATCTCCATATACAAAATTAATTGAAGATAAACTGTAACAAACGCCAGACAAAACAAAAACAACCATCGAACAGTAACTGTCAATAACAAAAAGGAGTCATTACACAAAAATGTATTTATTCCATGGGGTCAAAGTTCAAGGGTAAGAAAATAATTCCCACTCGTTGAAGGCGTGCGTAACGTTGATAACATTATTTTGCTTGAGTTAGGATAATGAAAATAAACAGAGCTAATAAGCTCACAAGGATATTTTTACAAAAGTAACTAGTCTTTATTAGTAGTTTAAAGTAACCTTTTTGGTTGCTAAATATGAATAGAACCATACAACTTATATTAAATGGAATGATAAAATTTTGCTAATCTTGATAAGTGCTTATGTAGAATCCAATAATTGTATCCGTTATATGTACTTATAAATGATTATTTTTATTAATAAAATACTAATTTCAGGTATATGTAAAATATTTACCACCAAAAATAAAAACATAGTCATAAATATATATATGTCAGATTTACAACATGTCAAATGTAGGGTTTTGATAAATCCAACTACCCTTAATTACTGATTCTTTAAATAAAATGAATTACACCGATTTATAATAAATGTTTGTCTCGTAGTTAAATAATGTAATTTCCTACAGTGTACGTATTTCTGGGTGAGCATATAGCGTTGGTGGATTTCGTGAACGTTCTCCATCGTCGTGGTCTCCTAGCTAATGGTGAATATGCTGTGGTTGCCGTAGATGATGAGATCTACGACCCTAACGATGCAGCCATCACACACGCAGGTAAACGCTTTGCAATTATTATATATATTTTTTTCACATTAAACTACACTATCGTATTTAGCGTTAGTTATTTTGATTTTTTTTCCCGTGAAAACAGACGCGGCAAAGCAATTGAAAGGAATAAAAATGTTAACAATTTCTATTACAAAATTGTATATTATATTTTTAAAGTTGAAGACGTTTTAAAATCTTAGAAGTGTGTTTAATATTTCACGTTAACCTTCTCTGATAGTTTTATTCATAAAAAATATTTGGTTAACATAGATTAATAATTTAAACATCAAATTCGCATTAGACTTAAAGTATTATAGCTACACAATAACGATAAGCTTAATTGATTAAGATGATTAAGCCTAATTTATTGGATCACGAGTCCTTTTAGGGATAATCCATTATCTTATACGAGAATAAACAAAGCTTCTCAAAACAGTAAAATGTTTTTATTAAACTAACATCACAAAATTATTTAATCAATTGTCATCGATCCCTTATATTATAAATAACATCTGCTTTATCTGGAAGACAAAGAAAATTGTTTTGAAACATTACTTCATATTAGTCTAAGGATTTGCTAGTGTATTTTTATCTTCATAGAACGAATTTCTTTCAAGGGGCTTAGAGTAGAAGGAACTGACGGTAAATGTTGCGCAAAAGAGGAGCTTTAAATCTCTTACAAGTGACGATTCATTTGTTTTTCTTTCTACCTGACTGTATTTCCTATAGAAATAAATATGTGATTTTCTATCAATGGTAAACAGATGTTAATAAAATTTTATAAACATTAATTTGAGAGAGTTAACAGGAAAATGAGTATTTTTATTTCTTAACAAAAGCTATCTATAATACTTATGTTGCAAATTTAATTGAGTTTATCGTTTTGTTAAATAATATGTCTTGGTTAAATTAAAGGAATGAATTCTATCAATAAACATTAACACTTCTATAACATAAATTTGAGTTTGAGATAAAAACAGAATAATTAAAGATACATACAGAGAGGAGAAATTATTTGTAAAGTTACATATTAATTTTCTCTTGCATATTAAATAAATATTTTGCTGACCGCGTTTACATTAATTTTAAATTAAAATAGGATTTTTAAAATTAATAATTAATTTACAATTATTTGTATTAACTTAAAAATACTATAATGAGGTAAATTCCGTTTTATCCAATCGCTAATTTTATACTACTATTTTTTAAATGAAACTAATATTTTCGGATTACGTTACTGCAAAGTATCCGAAACGTGAGAAGTTTTAAAAATAATGAAGTAACGCTAAGTAAAGTCTCAGAACTCATTAGCATTTCTTAATCAACATTAATTAATTTAAATTTACAACTGTCTTCAGACCTTAACTGTTATAAAGTATTTTACATTATTTATCTATTGTTTGATATTAATTTGTTTTAGATCATCTCATTCAGAACAGCAGCAGCGATGTTCTGGCCTTCCGTCAGGTCTTAAAATTGACTCCTTCTCATCCAACGAATCCACAATATCCGTGAGTACTAATCATTAATTGAAGTGAATTTAAATATATTTGGATTGGGTGTATGGATGTTTGTAAATGTTTCCATTGCTAAATCGATTTAAATCAAACTTCAAAGTCAAAGGTCAACGTAACATATTTAATATAATTAATATCACAATACCGTCTTAATCCTATGATATGAAATTTTGTATTGTGATTTATGTCAAATACTTTTTTGTATATCGGCATCATTTTCTTTTTTCTAAAACGAATTCTGAATTAGACGTACGTAGTCGCGAGTGAAAAACAAAAAATTTTTTTTAATTTTACTAATAATACTCGTATTATATTTAAAGACTTAAATTATTTTTCAATATTTATAACAGTAATAAGTTTAAGTATGTAACGAATGTAATCGAAAATAGCAAATAAGTTTTTAAAGAAGTTATTCTTAAATAACACCATATTATAATAATTATGTTTGTACGTGTATTTCAAAATATATAATAATATTATTTGTTAGATGAAATATTTATCATATTGTATTATCGTCAAAACAGGATGCTTTGTCAAATGATCCGGAAGCTTTCAGCGACGCCTCCATTTTGTGTTCCGAACTATCACAGGATATTTGAAGACACATCAGTGAGTACTTCTTACATTTTGTTTATTTTTATTCGCAAATAAATTCCGCTTTTATATCAGAGGATCAAAAAAGCCGTTGATTAAAATTATGTTACAAATTGTATGATTTATATTTTACAATAATCTGACGTCTACTTGTTTGCTAAAGTATTAACTCAGAAACAAATTAAGATTGGAAACTGAAAAATCTATTAGCTTCGCGGCATAAATAAAATTGATTGCATTATGTTCTTCAAACGATAGATAATAAATGCCACGGTGAATATTTAGCGAATGAAAGAAAATAATGAAACTAATATTTTCGGATTTACAACGCGATTTTTTATTTTTGACTAATAACTACATACTCACTGAGTATGAGTATGTACTACATGAGTGTCACTCACATCTTGTCTGCCCGTGATCAAGGTTGCTTTAAAACAGCCGAAACGTCGGGAGTATGTAGTTTAAAGTAAAAAATCACTTAGTAAATCCGAAAATATTAGATTCATTAAAATGAGTATTCGCGAAAATCTTACATCTCTTTAAGAAAATAATGTACTAAAAGTAATCAGTATAGGGACATAATAGAAAGTGTAATGATTAAAATTTTACTTAGAATATATGTATACACGTTTGTCGATGAGAATTCCTATGTCGACAAAGAAGTGCTCTGATTCGTTCTCAGTGGTTCATCTAATGAATTTCGTTCGAATTGTTTTCAACCCAAGCTTCGTGTGCAATTTTCTTCCGGATAGGTTTTCTTATCAAGAAATTCCTTACTGAATTCGATAAAACTATCTGATTCTAAAGATATACAAATAATGAGACACAATAAATATATCGCTCGAATTTAAAAGTATGTATTATCTTAATGATTGTATAAAATATAAACTAAAGTATAGTATAGTATAGAAATATCAAAAAAGACGTATACACTATATGCACATACATGATATTTAATATTTAAATGTGATGTCATTTAATTTTGCATAAATTCAAACCAGAGCTCAGATATTTCATGCAATAATGACAAATTAATTATTATGTCTATATTTATTAACATTATTATGTATATATGCTTAATTAAATAAATATTTAATTATTCTTATATTAACTATAATATATTTAAACGAACAATATGTAAATAAATTAATTTAAGTGGAAATTATTCATTCAATAAAACAAAACATTTTTAATTAATTCTGGCACGTGTAATTTTATGATTTATGTAAATGGATTTTAATTTCTGTTCGTTTGTTGACGGGAATATTTATAGTAACTTTATGTTTAATAAAAATTGAAACCCTTTCACGGAAGGGAAAAGAAATTAGGAATTTTTATAACTTTTATCGAATGTCCTTAAAACGACCTAGAAATTTGTTCATCAAGAGACTTTTATAATACTTTTCTATAGTAAAAATATTGGAAATTACCACAAATATATTTAATCTCTCAAACGGTTTTAATCAAGATTCTATAATAAGCTCGCTAGACTGTAAGATATTTATGAAACATTAAGTTGATTTCGATATTCATTTTTCAATTTACGTGTAAAAGTAGAAGACTAAAGCTAGGCTCATATAAATTCGTAAACAAATTTTAATTTAATTAGGTGTTGTTGTCACTACGTAATAATTAATAAGTCAATACCAATAGTTATCCAAATAGTTTTATTCCATGAAATATTCAATATTCATTCCACTCTATTCAATCGTTTGTACATTTATACATGACAATATAGCGCTTTTCTAAAACTACCTTCACCATATGAATAATGTCATTGTTTCAAATGATACAAAACATCAATATACTGTACGCAATAAATTGGTGATGAATCGTATATTTTTATAAGTAATTTTTTTTAAAGTCCAGGTCGCATTACTGAGAAGTTATAAAAGCATCTTTCTATCATATTTTTGTTGAAAAACTGCTATGACATCTATTGTACAGGTGCCGATAGAAGCAGCTCATCTGTACGATGCCGTAACATTATGGGCCCACGCTGCCACCGCAGCCACAAACCACGGTCTGTCACTCACGGATGGTGCCACGCTTATGAAACTACTGCGACCCACCACATACAGATCCATACAAGGATTTGATGTAAGTCATGCTTAATACTCCTCTAATATAATCATTACTGTTTAATACACGGTTTTTTGTTAGAACCTACAGGTGTCGTCGTATAACAACAACTTCAAAACACAAATAAAATGTTAGCGGTTGAAAAAAATATACAAAATTATATTAATTTACATAATTAATCAACAAGAGAGCTGTCGAAATTAAACAATATTTTATCTGTCACGCCTTTGTTTAGAAAGATATGATTTATAGTGTTGTTTTCAAAAGATATAAATCAAATTGAATTTATAATCACTTATAAACATTTTGATTATTCGACGCAAGGATAGCTAATATATCTTTATTTTTAATTAATGACTGGATGGTGTGCTTGAATGTCATTACCTGATCGTAGGTAGAAATAAAGTTGGAGGCGATGAAGGTACTTCCTAATTAACAGGCTATTCAAACTACACTTAAAGACTCCCGAAAATATTTGAAAGAAAATGCAGAGGCAAGAAAACTGTTTCTATCTTTTGCTCTGCAAAGTTTGATCTCTGTAATTATTAACCAATATTATAGTTGAAAAACGACTGCCATTAGATCACTTAGAATACATGTAATAAACATAACAATTATAATATGATTATGATTTATAGTATTTAAAATCTTGATATTGGTTTGAGATATTTCCTGAACTAATAACTAACAGGGAAATCTAAACAACTTGAAGAGATTCTAAGCTTAGACATATTAGAACACACGATAACTAGGTTATAGAGACAGTAACAAGCAAGTTATAAGTGGAATCGAGAGTTAATAATATGTTCATATAAATTGTGATGGTGTATTGTGACAAACTTTCAATCCTACTACAAAATTAAAGAACGTGTTTAGTTATGCTGTCTCTTATAATTGATTCTATCTCATTGTAAATGGATTTACTAAATTAGCAAAATAAAACTCGAAGCAAAATAATAGGGTTACTATTTAAAAAGAATAATGAAATTTAAAATTCATACAGAAACCATTTTTATCATATGACAAAATGTTATTTAAACTGTAACTTTACTTTTCTTTATAAACGTGCCATGTAAAAAATTGAGGCAATAAGAATTATTTTGTAGATAAAGTACAAAAATATTAAAAATTTTCCAAAGTTGCACTGATATTTTAGAAAGAATAACTATAAAAAATAAAATGCACTTTTGTTTGTTTTTAATAGAATCTTGACGAAAGATGAGGAATTTGGTATATATAAGTGTACTATATCTACTTAGTTACTCTAGAATTGTAATAACAAAGGTACGGAGAAGACCTAGTTATGCTTTAATTAATATAAAGCATGAAGTTAATTTTATGGACCTAGCAATGTATATATATGTATATCTTTAACGATATATGCACAAGGATATTTGTCTTTTAATGTTTTATCACAGTATCACAGTAGGATGAGATATCTATTTTTAAATCTGATTTTTATAAAAATAAGAACTTTATAAACTATAAATACGCAGCTAGAAAACTTTTCTTCCAACTTATAGATTTATTTCAATAGTTGTATATATGTAAATAAACACGAAGTCTGTTTATTAAGTAAAGACTCATTCTTTAAGGATCCGTATATTTACCAGTAAGTACCGCTTCAATAAAAGTTCCTGAAACTTTAGCACCTTTTAAGATTTCTTTGAGAAAAATATAAAACAGCGTATTTCAATTATACTAAAGAGTATAGAAGGAAAGTTTTATTCATAATTAATAACTGTACCGGACCATGCTATTTACTTAGCTCTTTTAAAAGTGGTTGTTTTTTATTAATAGTAAACATAGGTAAATAAAAAGCAAAAGATTTTTTTCTAAATATTTATTATATTTGCCACAAATAATAACGGTAAAAATATAAGAAAGACAACTGTGTACTTTAAAAATAAATTTGAATTACTACCGCAGAAAAACCCTGACATATACCCGGATAGAAAATGTTTTAAAAGCCATCGCTTATCATATTAAAAGTAAGAAAAAGACAAGGAAGTACATATAACACGGAGGGAATATATATTATTTAAGATGCCAAACTATAGACAAACTTTATAAGTTATGAATTATGAAAATTCAACCATACATTATTTTATGTAAACAACAAGGAACAACGATATCCCTAAGGTAAAACCCATAAAGTTTTACATGCATTAAATTATTAAAGACTTCTAACAGATCTGTTGCTTCGATACTCATAACATATTATTATAAGAAAATATTTGTACATTTTTTGGAATGAATAAGTTGGTAACGACAGTGAAAAATAAATTGACTCGGAGAAAGCAAATATGACGAAAACATACATCTTCTGCTGAATTTTCATCCTAACTAAACCTCAGTTTACAACCAATTGAACCCCAAGGCAGTGAATTAATCAAACGTGTATAGTTTTGTTTAACTTTTCTGATTTTCACAAGATAAAGTAAAACATAAATAAAAACAACGAATATTACAAATACAAAGAGCTTTACAGGCGGTACACGACCCTTAGGAAAATATGATTACATACAATAAAGACACATAAAAATACCTTTACTAAAATATCTGAAGTAAGTTTTCATAAAATGTAATTTCAAGAACATCTAACTAAATCCAAGCAATATGTTTTAGATATATGAGTGATATAAATATTTGACATTATTTTCATTATTCATAATCAAAAATACAAAGAAATTAAAGAAGATATTTATAAAATACGTAAATGATAATAGTTATCTTATTAATATAATGTGAGCTATCAAAATGTATAGATTAAATGAAAAATGTCCAACGTATTTTAAAACGTCGTTCCCACACGCCAGATTAATTGCATCCGGCTCTAACCACGGTGGTTTTTGAACTTTGTGAATTTGTTAATTGTTCCTTCATTAACATGTAATGGAAGTAACTTAAATTAAAAGGTACATTCTACTGAATGTCATTTGTTAATTAACTTTGATGCCATTTAGATACAATTTTAAAAAGAACATGAATAAACGAATAAAGGCCTAGATAACTGGAACAGCTTTTTACTAAACTGTGTATATTTTTAAATGAAACAAAGAGACACTGTCTTTAACGAACGTACGAAAAATTCTACAACATTTTGTTAGTTGTGTAATTACAAAAAAAATATATGCATTGTTTTAGACAAATATTTTTTAAAACGTTATAATAAAATATAGATACTTATAATTTAAAATTTTCAGTTTTTAATAATCATTTTCATTGCTGTGTTTATAATTATTAAAAATATTTATCGGGAATGTCACCTGTATTATACTCGTAAATAATTTAAATTTAAATAATTTATTAGTGTCATTTATTTCGATCAAGATTATGAATATATTTTCTTTTGGTGTATATTTTTTGTAAAACACTTTAAAGATTTATTGATGGTTTTCATACAACATAACTTTTCCATCAATAATATTTTGATTTCTCTTATATATCATGTTTAAATAAATTCTGCGTTTACTTATTTTTTACTAGATCTATGACGCAGGCTTCTAGTTGCCCGTCATCCTGGCGCCGAGTAGTCAAGTCGATTCAATTCTAAACGTGTCATTTAAAATTATATTTCAAGTTGTTGTATATAAAAGCTTGCAAATATAGGAGCTATTTTTATCTGCACTTGTCTGAGTTGTAATTTTATTATCCAGGTTAATATGGACAACGCTGGCGATGCGGAAGGTAACTTTTCAGTAATCGGTGTTGTAAAGGATCCGAATTCACCATCTGGATGGAGCGCACAACCGGTAGCCGCTTTTCGTATTACCAATTCGTCTGATCCCTTACCAGTAAGTTGAGTGATGAAAGTTTATTAGTTTATACTTTTTGTCCTGACTTCACCCCTAATCTTCTGTACTATATGGAAATCGAATTAAAAAAACTTTTCTGAATATAGTAGACATGGTTATCGTTTGTCAACGACATCTATCGTCTATGTCACATTAATTCATGGTATATACAACTTTAACGACATATGTATTTCTGTGCTAACAGTATGAATAGAAGGAGTGAATTACAGTAGATTATAACCTACATTCTGATGCCTAATCGACAACGGTGACAATAAAGTGATAAATTTAATAATTAATAATTAATTTACATGTGTAAAGGAAGCATATTTTAAAATGAAATATTATAAAATAAATTTAAAAAAATCTGCCAAGGAAAGTGTGTTCTGAATATATTTATTTTTAGGCTTACGTATTAAATTAAAATAGTAGAATATGTCTCGAGACGTGTATTTTATTTATAATTAATTTCATAGCGATGACGTGAGGGCGTAATGTGGGCTTTTTACGCTCAAAGCTAAATTTTAATTGACTTTGCAGGAATTCGTGGGAGGTTCCCAAATAGCTTGGATTGGTGGCAAACCGCCAAGAGCAGAACCCGCTTGTGGCTTTGATGGTAAATGCACTTTACCACATGACCCAGTAGTGCTATCAGCAGCTGCCGCTGTTGCTGCCGCTCTTATATTAGCAGCAGCACTCTTTGTGAGGCACTGCCGATACGAACAAATACTAGACTCAGTGCTGTGGAGGATCGAAGCTAAAGAACTCACCTTTATAACTACGTGCAATAAGGTATTATTCTGTTTAACACTACAATTAAATTTATTAGTTGCCTTCTTAAATATTTAATTAATATAATAATATCTTTTAGGAGTGTAAAAGAGAATAAACCATCGAGATTCCTTTGAAATATGTACATAAAAGAGAAAAATACTTTAATTTAAATATGTATAAGATGAACTATTTTATTACCTAAAAACTGAAACTGTTAAAGGTGTTTTAGGGTTTCTATGAAATTAACATAACAACAATATTTTCAAAATTATATTATCTTATTTTAAGTTTAAGTTTATCATACATTTTATTCTAGTCACGAAATACGGCTTAAATGTTAGTTTGGGGCCATCAAACAGTATTTTGCAAGGATTATAAGTTTAAATGCAAATTAATCTTAACGCGAGTGTGTTAAGTATGCTCAGAGTTGTTAAGCGTTATAATATTAAATGAGCTCAGTGCACTAAATTGATTTCGCTAGAGTGATATAATTTATGTTCTGATTCTAACCATAAATTTAACTAATTAGTAATTTTATTACCATAACTGTAACTGACTATTAAAAAGCAATTGTTCCAAGCAAAAACGGAACAGTTCATATCGCCATGAATATACACATAATTCATTAATAAATAATCACAATTTAACAACCATTTAGGATTCCATAACTCAGGAGGTAGAGAAAAAACGTGCTCACACAACGATAGCGTCCTACAGAGGAAATATTGTGGCTGTGAAGAGATTGAAAAAGAAGAATATAGATGTTACGAGAGCTGTCAAGAAAGAGTTGAAACAGGTATTTATTTCCGTAAAGATATAATGTTAATTTGGTCCGGAAGATATTAAATTACTTTACAATATTTCTAAATATAATAATCGCTTATATAGAAAAGACAATGGGATACGATTTTAGTATAATTTTATAATTGCATATTGATTACACTCTCCTAACAATGAAAAGCCAATTAGGGTACCAGTGAAAGGATATTAAAGGAATAATTATTTTTACCGTTCATTTTTACGTACAAAATGCAAAAAATCTACCGGGTGTAGTAATCTCTTTTGTATTTATTAAAATTGTGAAATAAAAACTCTTTTTTATTTATTCAGCTTCAATGATGGATTACTTGTAAAAATATATTTATAACATTTACATTTAGAAATATATGATAGAGATTTCATTTGTTTAATGAAAAAATATTAAAATTGTAACCAAACTCACAATTATCCATTACATAATATACACACAAAATATAGATCCTATGAAAAAATACGTAGCGTATTAATTTTAGATGATTTTTGGATTTAAAAGTTCGTATAAAATAGGAACTTATACAATTTTTTTTTGTAAAGATATTATTCAATAATTAATTAGAGCAAAGATTCGAGTCTTGGCCTCAGTATCCACTCAATCTCTTTGGGGTGCTGTCACAGCCGCAGGGCTAACAGCAATATGAAAAGAAAAAAGATTTAGAGTCTTTTTCATAATTAAATTTAAAATTGGTTTTGATTCATAACAATAGAAATGTTATTTTGATGACGTATGATGTTTTTAAGAAAAACACATTCAAGAATAAAGCTACAAGATAATGATAGAAATTTAAAAATAACCGATAATAAAAATACGATGTTATTAAAATGTTATTTGTTTCATTTAGAACGCAGAGATTATTATTTTAAGATGCTTGCAGCGTGGGAATAGAAAATAAGTCAAGAAAGAAATTGCTAATGATGCACACATTTATATTATACTAGCTTTAGTATTTTTTTAAGTTATTAACGAATTTGTTTCCGGTTCTTATTGCTACTCTCCGCATGACTTTCTTATAAAAGAAATGATAATTCTAACTCCTTAGTGGTTTGCAATGAAATTGATATTAATTTAAATTTACAAAAATGTTATTGACACAAAATTTATGGGAAAATTATGCCATAGTACACTCACATATGTCAATAATTACATTACAATTATAAAGAAAAGTAAAATAAATGAAAATCGATTACACCTACGTAAAAATAAATAGATGGCTGGAAATGATAAGATGGAAGACGAAAATATATTCAAAAAGTATAATTACTTTAACCATATATATTATTTTGCAAGACTAATTCATAAAAATTGGTACCAGATGCGGGAACTACGCCATGAAAACCTCACGCCGTTTGTAGGGGTGTGTGTGGAGACCGGGGTCGCCTGTGTGGTCACCGCGTATTGCTCAAGAGGATCATTAGCAACAGTTTTAGCAGACAGAGATTTACATCTAGATGATATGTTCGTTGCCAGCCTGGTTGCCGATTTATTAAGGGGTTTGACATACTTACACGACTCCGCTCTCATTTCCCATGGGAATCTAACGTCGAATAACTGTTTAGTGGATAGACGATGGGTGTTACAGATCACTGATTATGGATTGCATACATTAAAAAGTGAGTAATAATTATTAGTGATTTAAATTTATTCTGACCTGCTTTTATAGAAGCCTTAAAATAGGACTCAATAATTTTAAACAAAAGAATGCTTGTAGAGCCTTCATTAATTAATACCAATTTTAATAAATTTTTTTTGTTTGAAGGCGAATATAATTAAATTTTATTATATATAAAAGTCCTCATAATAAAAAAGGATTATATCTCGCATCACAATCAATATATTGCGTTGTACAAAAAACCGCATAACACGTTTATTTAACGCGTGGATTAATTGGTTGACTGACATTTGATTGGTATCCACGTGTATCTCTATAATCATTTCATTTAATATTAAAATTTTCATACAGTACATACAAATTATGTAGGGTGGCAACCAGAGGTTAAAGGAAAACTACGAAACATTAATTTAAAGGAAAACTACGAAACATATGTATTATATGAAGAATTACATATTAAAACTTATAAACTTTACCTAAGATTGATACATGATTGCCAGACATTACATTTACCTAAGACTACAGGATAACAGTACCATTTCATAGCTTGTGTGGTATCAGGAATCTTCGGATTCATACGACTTGGTGTTCGTTCCGTGGAGTTAGCCAGGTCACTCAATATGATATGATAATATAATACAACGATGTCGCCCGGAGATGTTCATTAATATGTTGCGCGTACATAACATACATGAAACCACGACTGTAAAAGTTTCAAAGAAATAATATAAAATCAAAAACATGACCCTTAAAAGCAGAATTATTATTTTTTATTTCACATTTACTTTTGTAGATTAATTAATTATTGTTCATGATTTCATAAATTTTTCCAATTTTCGAAATGTCACTTTAAAATTTATAACTATTTTACGTAATTTGTCTCTTCGAAACTTTGAAGTTGACACTAAAACAACTTTGGAAGTATGCTTTTGTATAATATTTCTCAATAAAATTAGATCTTTGCCGATGCTTGCTTAAAAACAAGGTCACGTTGATACAGCTAGTTGGTTAAATAAGATTTTCCTTGTATTTTAAATACAAGATAAACTAAGTACAGTGTGAATAGAAAAACTAAGTACAGTGTGAATCAAGATGTTAATTTGTAGGTGGATGCATTGACACTGAAGATGCATTGATGATGGAGAAACGTATGTTATGGCGAGCTCCTGAACTGTTGCGTGAACCGAATCCTCCTCCTCGAGGTTCCCAAAAAGGTGATGTCTATTCATTTGGCATCATTCTATACGAAATACTCGGACGTAATGGACCTTGGGGAGATACAAATTTGACCAATGCTGGTTGGTAGAAACATTACAATCTGATACATTCATTCCATTTCATATCTATACAACAAATTAATCTAAATATGGCTCTTTTCATCAAAATTAATATAGAGATCATCGGTCGAGTTCGTCAGCCGATAGGGGGTGTATTATTTCGTCCTCCCCTTGGAGGTTTGGCAGCCCGACCTTCGGTACTGGCTGTACTGAAAGCCTGCTGGAGCGAGCGACCTGATCGAAGGCCTGATGTGCGGCTTGTTAGGTTGAGACTTAAGGATATGCATGCTGGGATGTAAGTTATAGTCCTACGTATTAAGAAATGATTCATGTGATGCAATGTATAAATTAGAATGTTTATAGTATTATCAGTTTGCAATTTGAGAAACGATTTAAAAATTCTTTTAGGAAAACAAACATATTTGACAACATGCTTGCTATGATGGAAAAATACGCTTCCAATTTAGAAGGTTTGGTTGCTGCGAGAACAGAGGAACTTCTGCTGGAGAAGAAAAGAACGGATGACCTACTGAACAGAATGCTGCCAAGGTAAGACATATATGTACATGCACATCGAAGACTTTCGCGAGTATTCATATAAATGATACTAATATGTTCGGATTATTACACGTTATTTTAGACGAGACCACAATGACAGGAGTACATACTCCCGACATTGTCATCTTCATCGTCTTTCATTATTTTCAGACTACATAGTCTGAAAATAAGAAAAGACGCGTAGTAATCCGAAAATATTAGTTTCATTTATATGTGGTAAACCCAAGATAAAAAAAGATAATTCTTTCCAAACGCAATTTTTCTTTAGTTAGAACATTATTCATAGCATTTGTTACGTCGCGTAGGTTGGAACAAAATAACGGTAACGATAGGATTGTCATTTAAAAAACGAAATATTTTGCAAAAGAAAATATACATTTTTTAATAATTACAATATTTAAAAGAAAATTTAAAAAGGTTGTAACATATAAATTAACGAAAGAAATGGTTTATTTTAATATAAGGAAAATTTTTGAAATTCCAAAATTTTATCTATTTATGCTTTGAAAGCCACTGAAAGCTAAAAATATTACATTTCAAATTGTGAAGATCATCATACAAAATTGTCATCATACAAAATTGTTATTTTTGTTTTCTTAAATTTTCTTACAAAAAAGGTCACAAAGGTTTTACACTTGAGGAAGAAATGTTATATTCACGCAAAATACATAATTAGAATAATTTACGTCACCGACAGTGTAAAAAGAAATCCGGAGGGATAAAAAAATTCTTTCCCAAACCACTTTAAAATATACATTTTTTATATCAAAAATATCATATTCAAAGCTCTCAAGTGATAAAATATATACAATTTTAGTTAATACATATTAACAGAGTTATAATAGAAAAAAGACGTATTAATATTAGAAAACCTTGATTTCATTTCAGTGCTTTTAACTAAAAACTAACAAAACTATATAATAAATATTCAAATACCGAAGCTAACTTTTAACTTACCTTCTAATAATTTAAAACATAAAATCAATATATTTTTACTTACGCCCACGAAATGTTATTCTTTAACTGAAGCATTATTATATATATATTTACTATTGGCTCTGCCTTTTAAGTAAAATGATTTAATTTGATTGTATTAAAAAAACGCGATATATTAATTATTATCATTCCACGTTTAAACTTGAATTTCTTAACCGAATAATCATATCTCGAAAAGGCCTCGCATTAGTTTGGAAAACAATATTGAGATAAAACAGCTCAAAAAATCTCTGCAAGAAAAATAGTTTTCAAACAAAGTAAAACGCATCAAAATCTGTCGATCCATTTGCGAGCTACGATGTTACAGACACAGAAACATCGGCGTGAAACTCAGAACGACATTCTTTTTAGGTCGTGAGAAAGATATGATTTCCAAAATGAAACAATAAAACACAAGTCAGCCTTATCTAATATGATTTAATGAAATACTTCAAAATAAGCTATTTCATAAATGAATTAAAAATTAACATAATGTTACCTCAAACGTGAATAAAAGCAACTTTAGATGGCTTATAATATAATTACTTCAAGAGTTTGCGTTATTCCGAGAGAGTGTTGCTTTATAGAATTACGATAATTTGAAATGAAAATATTTTGTATACAAAATTTCATCCTGATTTTATTATTTGCTTACATTACATATTAAAATTGTGATTTCGTTTTAAAAGTACGTCGAAGTAAATTATGATATTTAAAAGGCTTGTGTCTATCCAATGTTCTCTCCATTTCACCGTTGAATGCACATCGTAATGAAAAAAATTAAAATGACCTAAAAGTATCTGTAAATTAAGTTTATTTTTCTACAAGTTTTTAAGAGTTTTTTTTATTTAACAGCAACAGATTTTTTTAAATTATTATTATTATTATAAACAATTATTTTGTATTGAATGGTATAAAATTTTATTTAAATCTAAAATGTAGTATAATATATGAGTTCAAAATAATTGCATAATTTATTAATTAATATATAAGTTATTTAGTTTTGCATTTAAATAATTGCATGCTATTTGATTTTTTTCTCTAACTATAAAATTATATGTATATATTTTTTTACTGTAGTGTCATGCCTTGTCATAAATTTTGTGTTAATTCAATAGTGACTTAATTATTCTGGTCATTTATATCCCGAAAACATTTTTTTTATCCAATATTACAAGCCAGATACCTTCATTTGCTTTTTCAACCGAGTTCAAAAAAAGGTGTTCTTTTTTAAAGTCGTTTTTTACTTTAAAATTATTTTATTCAACTGTCTTATAATGTATATTCTGAAGACCATTAAAGATTTGAATGAATTCATTTAAAAAGTAAGCTTGTAACTTTATGTACTGTTGATGAATATTTTCTTTTAAAATTGATGTTTCTCGTCTTATTCAAATTTTATCTAAGTGTATTAAAATATAACGAATTTTCGTATTAATTGAGTCCTTGCTTTATTTAGGCTACTGTATATCTTAAATGTATAAATATGTAAAAAGCTGGCTTATCATCCGACATCTTATTTAAAATGTTCAAGGGGAATAATGTAGAAAGTTTTATAATTCAATTTCTTTAATATAACTACCATCTGCGCTTAAACGTGCACTGTATATACAAGAAATGTCACGTAGCGACGGAGGAGATAGAAGAATGACATTATTTCCTTCTCGTCTGAAATAACTACTTTTCATTTTATATCTAAATATATTTTAAATATGTTTCAATAAGAACTTCAACAACCATATGTATTGTTCGAAATAATTTAAGCATTACTTCCACTTTTGTAGATGTTTAAAGCTCCACTTTGACGTTGCTCATACTCCACAACTCATAACAGAATCCGCATTCTAGCACTTACATCCTATTAATAATATTCAAAGGTAACATATTTAGGTGAGAGTAAGTTATAATATCATACAGAGTGCCCTAGTTTCCCTCATAAGAGTTTCCATTAAATAATAAAACACCGAATATTACGTAAAACATGCTTAAGGTCTAATTATAAATCCACTAGTTAAGTATTTGGACATTTAGACCCAGTTTCACAAATTTCTTGTAACCATAGTAACGTCATCTGTTTTGTCAGTTTTGACTATTTCCTTGTTATTATTAATAAAGTGAATTAAAAATTCATTTAGTATGATGATTTTGCCTCCAGCTCTTCTATGACATTGCAAATTAAGTTTTCTTTTTATTTCTTATAATTTGAGCGCAATTTATGTCTATATTTATGACACAATAATGTAATAAAAATATATATATATATAAAAAAAAAATTGTGCATATTTGACCTAAATCGGACAATGCAAAACATGTTAAATAAAGTCTTGAAGTTCACGTAAAAATAATGGATTTCTTTTTCCCCAACCTATTATAACAAATTTTCTTGATAAGTTACACCTAGTAAATTGAAAAGCAAGCTTTTTGTCTACTAAATGTATGCAACCAATAGAAATTTATATGTATATTTTTACTTTTACTGCAACCGTCTACACGTTTTTCTGCTTTGCCTAAGGGTTGACTGGCAGAGAATGCCTTCAGGCATTAAGTCCGCCTTTTGTATCTACGTGTGTAGTTAGACAATAAAGTTTTTAAATAAATAAATGAACCAACGATATATAAAATTTGGTCGCATTAACTTACAAGTGACGTGTCGAGGGATATATACGATCAAAGAATAAGGTGGTGCATCGTGGCAAACGTGCCGTGTTAAACGCTATAGTTTTCACTTGGTCGTCTTATAACAAGAACGAATAATTTGGTAGTCGGTCATTTGACATGACGTTTAATAATGCGTTGTTAACTTTTCATCGTGGGACGTAAATATTTTAGCAGACATTTATAATTTTGAAGGTTGGTTAGTAAATGCTGGGTTTAGATAAAACAAATATTGATTGGTGAAACATGGTCTTAAATTACTGTACAGAATTATTATTAATATTTATTTACACTATTATAACAAATATATACAGATGGCTCTAATTAAGTATCATAAGAATTCCCAATAAATATTAGGATATAAATAACGTTAAGCTTATAATTATAAAGTACATCACATTTTAAATAATTACAAATAATTATTACTAACAGCATATAAAAGACTTCATTCAACTAATTTTATTAATTCCTATCAGCACAAAGCTTCTAAAAATAAAGATAATATGTTAATATGTATCAACTTAAGAGCGAGTTATATTACGAGGAAAATTGTAGACATAAATTCAAGATATTTTAAGGGATGGAAATGTTAAACATAAAACATACCTCATTGTGTTTTACCGAAACCAAATATGTCTTACAATATATATTTACATGATAATTATAAATGGTGCTTTTCACAGCCGCCAGAGATGCCAGGAAAAATACGAAACCTAGTTATGCGTATATTATAATAAGAATTACATACTAAAACTTATAACCCATACCTTAGACTATATGATTGTAACGATGTTATGATAGCAATCCCATTCCAAAGCTTATGTATTACATTAATCTTCTGGTTCACATGGCTTGGTGTTCGATTCGCGGAGTCGGCGACGTCGCTCGTAATATGATATTTTATCCATATAACAGTGTCACTCCGACGGTATTAGTTTAATTTTTAATATGTTGAGTTTACGTTACATAATTGAATATATTTTGTATTGATATTTCGACCAAATGTTTTACGAAATTTATACGTGATCTGATATTTCCAGCACGGATTTAACGGTATACGCTTATTATATTGTTTTGAATAATACTTTGCAATGTTAGGAAATGATAAGACAGGATTTCTTATTTTTTTAAGAGAAATAGGGACCGTAAAATCGTTTCATACACACAGTTTGCAGATATAATATAAAAGGTTTATTAACATCTGTAATATTTACTACAAGTTTATATTCTCGCATACACAGAAATAAAAATACCAATTACCCAACAAATATGAACTTAATAGCGTAATAAAAAGTTACAGTAACGCAAACAGGAAAACTTATTGATAGAAACTAATGCAATGTAGGAAAAAAGTTTCAAACAACTAAATTTCACTAACAAGTAACATGTGTGCTAACGACGTCCAATGTTGGGGAATAAAATAGAACAAATGTTTTGTAGTATTTTTTATTCATGGAATAATTGAAATTTATGTAAAATTTACTTCAATCAGAACTGTGGCAGAAGCTTTGAAACGTGGTGAGCCTGTACAAGCTGAAAACTATGCCAGTGTCACTGTATACTTCAGTGACATTGTAGGCTTCACAAAACTCGCTGCTACTAACACACCTATGCAGGTAAATATTTAAATTTCAAAAAAATATTAAACGTGTATAAAGAATATTGACATTTTGTGTTAAGTATGTTTTGAACTCGTCTTTGTGATCAATTCAATTTGATAAAAAGTAAAATTTTCTCTGTTTGTTTTTCAAATCATTCTTCTAATACAGCATAATCCAAATCTTTGTAATTTTTATATTGAACTTTTGACCATAATATATAAACTAGTATTGACTTATCTATATAAAAACATGGCTAATGTATACACATCGTAAAAAACTGTATTTAGCTCCCTTATTAATAATTAAATGTCCACAAAACAAAACATAATTACCTTCAGTAAAAATAATCTCTAACTAATAAGACGACAACAAAATGAAAGGTAACGTATACTTATAAGCACTACAAATACGTTTTAACATAATTTATAAAATAATTACTAACTTTCAAATTTATTTCAGGTCGTAGAGATTTTAAACGATCTCTATACATGTTGCGATGAAATCATATCACTTTATAACGTTTATAAGGTAGGTGTATCAGCACATTACCTTTGTATTAAATTTATTATTAAAATTTTACAATCTTCATTTTATAAGTTCTAGAAAATAATTCTCATGAATTCTTTTAACATAAAAAACAGTACGATTCTATTAAATGTTGTCAAAGGTGGAGACGATTGGCGATGCTTATATGGTAGTTGGAGGACTACCGGATCGTATTTCAAGACACGCGGCAGAGGTCGCATCACTGGCACTTCATATTTTGGATGCAGTTCCAAAGATCAAGATGAGACATATGCCTGCCACCAGGCTTCATATTAGAATAGGTACTATTTGCTTAAAACATTCCGCTACAGATAAAGTTACTTCCTTTACTAGTTTCTTTTATATTTTATTTTTGGGCTAATTGTCTTGGGTTCAGTTGAAATTCCATGCATTCCAACAAAATGCGAAGCTTTTCTTATTAACAAAGTGGCCAGTAATAGGGCATTACAAAATCTTTGTTTCATATTAATATCGTAAACATACATTACTAGTTTTTAGTAAAATTACCTAACAAATAAATACCTCATTATACTCCAACAGGGATTCATAGTGGGCAGGTTGTGGCTGGTGTGGTAGGTACCAAAATGCCGCGTTATTGTCTCTTTGGGGATACTGTTAACACAGCGGCGCGTATGGAATCCAGCGGAGAACCACAGAAAATACATATCAGCCACGACACATACAAGTTGTTGAAAAAACACGGCGGCTACCATTTCAAAGATCGGGGTATCATAACTATAAAGGTCTGTAGAACTTACCATACACTAATAATCTTCATCTTCTTTAGAAATATTACATATATTATGTTCTAATATTATTAGGGCAAAGGTGATATGAAGACCTGGTGGTTGATCGGCGAGGACCACGAACGGCGGAGAAAATCTCTATTCCGTTGCGGTGAGTACAAAACATTTATTTTTCAACTAGTACTGCATTATTTGTTATGCTAACTTTTCATCAATGATTTTCCTAGCACCGGACATCGGTTTCAACGATAGGGACATGTTCAATGTGTCTGGTTCCACGAGTCGTTCTATCTTCGACATCCGTGATCGCGCACGTCTCTCGTGCGGGGGATCCATGGGCCCTGGGTCGGCTCTCTCATCTCCCGGCCCTCCCGCTTGTGCCTGCTTCGTCCCCCCTCGTGATCACCATTCCGCCCCCGCTGTTTCCTTCTGCGAGGACTGACGCTAACCAATCGAAGTTTTCCATCCCACAATCTATAGGGTGCTTTAATGGAGAACTGAGCTTTAAGAACGTTGTTTACAGGGTGTATGATAAGGATTTCGAAGATGTTCACACGAGAACTAAGATATTAGAAGCGATGAAGAGGTTGTACTGTTTAGATTATCATTATAACATGGTTTAATATCGTCGTATCAATGTGGACTCAATTCTTATATATCGGTAGTTGTAATATCAGTGTTAATGGTATTTGTAAGTTAAATGTTACTAATGAAATGTTTGGGTCTGAATATTAATAAATTTCTGCTAATAAGGCAGATGGAAAAACATTTATGAGAATGGAAGTTTTTCGTAACTTCAATGATTCTTTGCGATTATTAAATGTCATTAATTTTTATGTGTGCATGTGTGTATGTTTTAATCACTTATGTCTATGTCAAACGAGGTTTAATTATTATTGATAAGATATATAAAAAAAATAGCTATTGAATGTGCTAAAATCCGTCTGTATTGTGCGTAAATAAAATAATTATTATGCCATAATGAACAAGTCTGATCGTTAGATTACAAAATACGTAATTATGTAATAAGTACTAAGGAATGTCTGATGTCATTTTTATTATTACGAGTGAATTTAGGATATAATTTAAATATTAGAAAATACTATCCATAAATATATCAATTGTTTTAAGTAGTTATTAAAAATTTTAAATCTGTTTTTAACTCTGTTTCGCCGATTAGTAAAAAAGGGATGTGAATCGGGTCTTAAATGTTAATTCATTATAAATGTAAAAAAAGACCCGTTCGTTTGTATATCAAAGACTGATGTAGCTTAAGGGAAAATCAGAAGCTTATCAGCGTCCAATGTTCGACAAGTAGAGAACGAATTAGGAAGTAAAGGAACATTGTAAAAAAATAATTCAGTTTTCAATGAAAACTAGGGAGTTTACCAATTCGACCACGACAATTTTGATGCCTATGACGCATAATTTGCGCTTAAATGTTAAAACATTCCAAGATTTGTACTGCTTTGAAATTTCGGTCCAAAATTAAAATATACATTAGATTTTATACTATTATGTATAAGAACAACCATTAAAATGGCGATCTGTCTAGATAAGGAAAATTGTAATTAAATTCATGTGATTTTAATATGTCGTATCTAATTTTAGTCACATATAAGTCTATGTTATCAAGATAATCTTGGTATTTACTAGTAATTTTAGTATTAAGATAAATGAAATGTTGTCAAGTCAGTTAAATATGTAGTTTAAATGTATATTTATTGTTATAGAATAATTAACAGGATTTCTTATCTACTGACAATGAAATCGCGGTATGTAAAATTAACTTTTGTTTTACGCCGCATTCAATTTCATATAGTATTTTAAGGGACTCCTGATCAAATGTTTACTAAAGAATTTTTGTCACAACATAATCTGTCCGTGATTTCTTTCAAAAACGGCCGTTCTAATTCCTTGTTAACGTAGGTGGTAGGTATGTTATTATAAATATGAAAACTACCATAAATTGATCTGAATAAACAGTTTGTGTAGTGTTAAATATTTTATCGATGTTTATGAAGGAATGGGTGTATTTATTTTAAATGAACTTATTTATAATGTGAAGGATTGTTTTGTTGTGATATTGTGTTACAATTAATTTATTAATTGTGTCTGTGATTAAGTAAATGTTGTTGCTATTGATTGGAACGTATACACAATTTTATAATAAAATATATGAAAAAATATAACTAATTATTTTTATCTTATAGAATATTTCGTAATGCACACATATACATACAACTTATGGTCAAATAATTAAATATCATAAAAAGTAGATTAACGTTCTATACTCCTATTGCTAAGAGGAAACACATATTTTTAAGACTTCAGAAACTTTTTTATTTTTAAAAAGTTATATTATAACTTAATAGAAATACTGATATTAAAATAAAAAAATATTTCATAAGTTTGAAACCGAAATATTCCACTATATTTGATAACATAAATAGCTACAAAAATATTAAGTCATACGTCGAACATTGAAGTTATTTTTAAAGAATATTTGAAGTCATAGCATAGAATTTAATAATTACTGAGTAAATTTTTATTTTAAAACTTATAAAAATAGCACTCAAACAAAATGAAATAAAAATTTAATTTTTTTTCACCAAAAACAAAGCATATGAACATAATTGAAGGTCATCTAAGTTAGCATTCTTTAAACAGAAATTTATAAAAAAAAAAATTAAAAATTCCAACAACTACACAATAACCCAACTAAACCTATAACATTTTTTTAACAAAAATAACACGGACGTGACGTGGTTTCATAACACTACATTGTGAGAAAAACTATTTTCGGTTCGTATTCCAAACTAAAAATTTGAGGCTTTTGGTTAAAAATATTATAAATAAAACTAAACAATTCTGTGTATCGATTCTTTGGTGTCATCTATGTTACAGTAATAAAGTTGTCTTCATTAAATGTTAATTTAACTGATATTTGATACAAATTACAATCTATAGTGAACCAGTTCCTCTCCCCGAACACAATTTACCAATTTATCGGAAGCCGTATCTGTGATTCAAACTGAAATACACTAATAACATAACATAAATAATACTGTGTTATAATTATAGAATTCAACAATAGAGAGTTGTATGAATGTAAATAATACTTCTGTGTCATGAATCAGTCACTTTCACTATTTTGATTTTGTTTGAATATTAGTTACAATTTTAATAGTTGGCGTAGCTATGAATGTTTATAGATTATAAAGTCAAGTAGTAAAGTCTACTTTTAAATGAAACTATTTTTAATTTTAGCTTTTTCTTTGATGACAATTATTTTAAGATTAAAGAATACTCTTTAAAATTTTTATATATATTATAAAATTATTAAGTATTAAAATTACATTACTATTATTTAAAATATAGCAAAATATCCTTGTATACATAGTTGTAGTTTGTATGTTCATAATACATAATACGTTTTGTCAGTTTCACATTCTACATATATCCTACGTTAATACTGTTATGTACAGTGTTTTATGAATGAAACAGTATCAAGGCTCTGTATTCAACGAAGCCCTTTAGACTAAGCATATTGTAGTCACTAATTAATATAATATTCTAATTAATAAGGGAAGTGAAGAAGATACATGAACTAACGATCTTTGAAAACAATAGTTAGACTGCCTGTGAATAATTATATAGTTTTACGTTCCTTAATTGGGCAAAGCTGGGAAATTGCCAGGAAGAAGAAGAGGACGTTACATAATTCTAATTAATTTCAAAGTTTATGAGTTCTAAGTTCCAGAACATTAAAGTGAATATGAACATATTAATAATACTTAATAAAATAAGCAAACTTTCTCTTGTTTACTATAAGTTCGAGTGGGAAAGGTAGAATTTCAAGGTTGAGACTTCGGTGTAACATTTCCATTTCAAAACTACTCGTATGGGTTGAATATTATTATGTAATAATTTTAAGTAATTTTCTTTATTTATTTTTTAATAAAAAGTTTAATAAATAGTCTTCGTTCGTATGATGAGATTTAAATTGCCATCAAACACTAACAAATCGAAATTCAAGTCAATGTTGTAAGAACTGAAACATCTAGGTCGTGTGTAAATAATGTTGCTAGCATCACAAGTCTTTGATAGAACCGTGCACATGTTGGCGGAGTAATACTAATGCTACTTATATTCAGATCCTAAATTTATTGAATTATTATTATTTATTTATTTATCTTTTCATTCTCTTAGATTGAATTACTATTTTCTAAATTCGTAACTATAGAACTTGGTTCTAAATGAAAGGACGATGTTGAAGTTTAAAGGATCAGATATAATTAGTATAACTAACTTGACTTATGTATAACGTTGAATATATGATTAATTTTTCCTGCTTGATATTATTCCTTACTTAATTATATGATGTGACGAAAAGAGAATATAAAAATAGTAACGGCGTAAAGTAGTAATTTGTTTATATTGCTTGAATTAGCAACAGCCAGTAGAAGTTATGAAAAGCGAATGAGACATGTTTTATTTACAAAGAATTAAATTAAAATCAGTGTGAAATATAGAAATCGAAAAATTTCCCAGTATTTTTATACCAAAATTGAGAATACTATCGTAATGAATTCACTAAAAATTTAGTGTAAGTATAATGAAATCTAAATAAACTTAGAAATATTGCATGCCTTGACTTCTAACCCGATATTAAAAATAATTAAAATCCCTCGCCTCCTATAAATCGACATTACTAAATATTTTTTTTTTATTTAAGAACAGTCTTAATCAGTTCAAGTTTTACTTGGTAGTTTTAATAAGTTGCTGTTTAAAAACCTTTATTTAGTTAGCTTTTCTTTTTTAATAAAACCATTTTTTTATATTCCTTTAATATCTACTACATTGTAAATATAATGTAACAGTTATCTCACCCTTTCAACCTCCAAAGTGTTCTTAATCTCAATACCGCACTTCACAAACTAATATTGACTTGACCTCGGTCATCCCGAAAGTGAACTCTGAACAACTGACAGCACCCTACATGTCTTCTTCAACGTGGCAATTTCCCAGCTATAGCCAGGGTCTGCCTTACATGTTGTGAATAATTTTGGCTATTTGTTTTTACGACCGGCCGCCTGCCTGACATCAACCCTCTTTTGGGAAGACAGCACCCTACATGTATTACAATTATATATGACATCGATAGAAAAGTCTCGGCTGGAGATAGAAATATAGGATAGAGAAAGAATTTAACAAAATATAAATGAATATATTACCCAAACACTAGACTTTATAATTTTATTCTGGGTTGTATTTAATAAATAAAACTTAAATTCTTAACAGTGACAAGTAGAGTTGAGAACTATAAATATAATTGTGGCTAAACTTTGAAGAACCTCATGTATGTATATTGGATATTTCTTAATATAAGGGATTCCAGAACTGAATATGAAACCGGAGACGTGGCTTGAATATTTATGG